CCAGATGGTTCCTTCCCCTGGAATTTTATAGGGGTGAGTTGTGTCAGTAAATACATCTGAGGTGTCAACATAAAGAATATTTTACTATGCCCTAAGGAGCAGAAAAAAAGAAGGCAATGGTCTCTACCCTCAAGAAACGCAAAGTGTAGCTCAGTGATTCCTAAGGCATGGTCCAGGGCCAAACCCACCTCCATCCCAGGAAGCCTGAAACCCTTTCAGGGGTCAAAGAGCTCAAAATTATTTTCTTAGAAATACTAAGATATAATTCTTACTCTCTCTCTCATGATTTAAAGTATTTCAAATGACAGACTGGATGCAGAAGCAGATTTGAGAATCTAGCTGTCTTTGATTAAATCAGGTATTAATGAGATTGGAAAAAATGCATAGCAATGCCATTTTTCTTAATCTTTTTACATAGTTATTTCTCATAAAAATTAAGCTATTTACATAAGCATGAATAACTTTCTTATTGATATTTTCCCCATTTTCCTATTGGTTTTTTACATGGATTTTTAAATGTCAGCTATGTGTATACACATATCCCCTCCTTTAATGGACTTCCCGCCACTCCCCAATACCCACCCCACCCCTGTAGGTCATACCTACCCTGTAGGTATTTTTAAATGAGTTAATATATTAAAATTTTCAGTTTTAACTTCTAATACAGTAAAAATCAATATAATCTTTATAAGCAAAAGGTCTTTGGAGTCTTCAGTGAATTTTAAGAGTATAAAGAAGTCCACACAACAAAAAGCTGAGAAATACCAAAAGGTTTCATCTTTGAAGCAGCTCACTGCCTTTATATCAATCACATACTCGATGGCGTTTCTGAAAATCCAAGTACCTTGTGTGAGTTTGTCCAACTACACCTCTCCTCCTGAAGCATCCTTCCCCACCCTGTCCTTCCAGGAGCTACATTTCACTTTGTCTCAGTAGGAATCAAATGTCTGGTTAAGACACCTCCACTAAACATGCTGTTAACTTTGCTGGCAGCATTAACTCTTCCTTTTGATGAATTAGGTTAGTGTTAAAGTGAAAGTCACTCAGTCGTGTCTGACTCTTTACAACCCCATGGATTATACAGTCCATGGAATTCTCTAGGCCAGAATATTGGAGTGGGTAGCCGTTCCCTTCTCCAGGGAATCTTCCCAATCCAGGAATCAAACCCAGGTCTCCCCCAACTGTAGGCAGATTCTTTATCAGCTGAGCCACAAAGGAAGCCCAAGAACACTGGAGTGGGTAGCCTATCCCTTCTCCAGCAAATCTTCCCAACCCAGGAATTGAACAGGGGTCTCCCGCATTGCAGGCAGATTCTTTACCAGTTCAGCTATCAGGGAAGGTTAGTATTAACACCTCCAGATAACCATACCTGTAGATTTCTCACACTATCATATAATTTGTTCACATTTTTTTTAAACAGATTATCAAAAGAAAGGACTTCTTAGGATCCAGCGTCTATGATAAAACTCTTTTCAAATAAATTATGTCTATCAAATGTAGACATATGTTCAAATGTTCCTTTCAAAAGCAACAAAGAGAAAAAAAATACTTAAATTTTCTATATTAGTTCATTCTATTACCTATAGGCATGTTAAAGTCAGATAGAAATTCAGAAAACCTCAAGCAAGATAAAACATTTTAGAATCACTGTATCAGAAAACTAAGGTATACTTCACATTTGAACAGAGCATTCTAAAAACACCATCTTGGGACTTCCCTAGTGGTCCAGTGGTTAAGGATATGCCTGCCAAGGCAGGCAACATGAGTTCGATCTCGGGCCCTAGAACTAAGATTTCACATACCACAAGACAACTAAGCCTGCATGCCCCAGAGCCCATGCTCCGCAACAAGAGAAGCCACCAGAATAAAACTGCTCTTCGCAACTAGAGAAAGCCCACGTGCAGCAACAAAGACCCAACATAGCCCAAATGAAATAAATAAATGAAATTTAAAAATAAAAACACAGTCTTTACTTTTCCAATTGGAAACCTAATTTCCATCCCTTGGCAGGAGGTGGAAGGGGGGAGTTAGTTTATGCAAATTTTTAAATTCTTAAACTAAGTTAAATCTATTAAATGTCCAGTTTTGGATATTACTGAGCCATTTCAACTGCCAACAGCCTGCATTATCTATGAAAGATGGTTTTCCTGCAACCAGGTTGAGTGAAAGTGAATGAAAGTGCAACCACGTGAAGTCACAGTAACTTAAGAAAATACAAAAATAACAGCTGATCCTGGCCAAAGAAGTTTAAAGAAACTCCCTATAGAACCTTTGCCCTCGTGGCTGATGGCAGCTGTCAGTAACTGTGGGCCATTAGGCCCCAGCAGATCCTGACCAAGCAGGCAACATCATGGCCAGTAAGGTTCTACTGGGAAAATGACAGAACAAGAAAAATCAGAACATTCAGGGGAAGCACAAAGAAACCGTCTAAAAGATATGCTTCCCCAACTCCAGCTGCCATCAACCCTCACCTCCCCAGGAGCCACTGAGGAACAATCTCTCCCTTGACCGCATGTTCAGACTCCACCTCTCCGAGAGCCCCTTCCCGCTGCTGTGCACGCCTGCTCCGTTGTGCCGGACCCTTTGCGACCACGTGGACTGCGGCCCACCAGGCTCCTCTGCCCATGGGATTCTCCAGGCAAGAATACTGGGGTGGGTTGCCATTCCCTTCTCCAGGGGATCTTCCTGACCCAGGAATCAAACTGGAGTTCCCAGTGTCTCCTCCATTAGTAGGTGGATTCCCACTATTACCACCTTTAAATTCTCAAACCCTCAACCCCTCTTTCCCTGAGGTTTCCAGAAACAACTCTTCCCAGCATCATTTCTTTGATGCCGAAGGCTGCAGACACCCTTCAGATCCCTCGGAGACATTCAGTAATTTCTCCTCCTTCCCTGGGTTTCTAGATACCATGCTTTCCCAGGGTCCCCCTGTCTCTGGGTTGCTTCTTCTAGAAGCCTCTTTCTCTGCTCACCTCTTATTTACTGGTGTCTCCCCAGACCTGTGTCCCTGTCTTTCTTCTCATGCACACTCTGCTTTTCCCACTTCAACTTCTGCCTCTGTAGATCCACCTCTCCACTATACCAAGTGCTTAAACACAGTCTGGCACAAAGGAAGGACTTGAGAAACACTAGCTGCCTTTATTATGATCTCCTTCCTGGGTTTCTGTTTAGTGGCCTATTGGACATCTGTACTTAAACATTCCAAAAAAACACATCATACCCAAGACCAAATTCATCTTCCTCTCCCCTACCAAAAAGTGTTTTTACTAAAAGCCTATTTCTCCCTCAGTGTTCTATACCTCTCTCCTTCATTTATTCATTCTTTCAAAAAATATACGGAGCCACATATTATTCCACGTATTAAGGATTCAAAGTGAACACATCAGACAAGGTCCCTCGCCCCCTTGTGACCTGACATTCCAGGCTAAGAGGAGCAGGAAAAATTAACACAATAAAGGAACCAGATGATGGCAGATAATGCACACCCTGCCAATAGCTACAACAATTAAAACTGGATGCCTGCTTTATACTGAGAGCTCAGAGAAAAGTTCTCCTAGGAGGTGACATGTGAGCTGAGACATGAATTATACACCCAGAGACGAGCTACAAAGGACAATGGACAGGAGAGCCTCTCAAAGCCAAACCAAAAGGGGTCCTGTTACCCTCTCCAGCAGGATGTGAAACCGTGCTAATGAGTGTTTCCATTCTCCCTTCCCTCCATAAGAAGGCGTTACTGCACTGGCCCTGTCCTCTCTCCATCCATGTGTGCTGGAGGTGCTGGAAGGGGAGGCTCACTCTGTGTCCAAGCGGCTGCACCTTCCAGAGAGGATGGGAAGGACAGACATCGCCCAAGGGCTCTGCCTGCTGCAGTTACTGTTGAACAGACCTGCATGTCTCCCTTCAGGGAAGATAAAACACGTGTTGTGTCCATGCCACCGCAAGGCAGAAATCAACGACCCGACCCTGGTTCCTCCCTTCCCAGTGTCCCGATAGATCCGAGCCCCTTAAGATCTCTGAAATTCAGCTATTCTCCCATCTCTGTCACTTCCTTGACTCACTTCTTACTCGATGACGGCAACAGCCCCCAAATCAGCTCCGTAGCTCTAGCTGTCTCCTTCCAGTCAATGCTCCTTGAAACACTGAAGTCACCCTTCCAAGAGACAAATCTGAACATGAAACCAGCAACTTAAACCTCCCCTGGGCTTCCTATAGCTTCTAAATAAGGACCAAATGCTGTAGTGTAGTATTCAAAGCCCTCCATTCTCTGGCTTCCACTTTGCTATTCCTCTTTTTCTTGATTTACCTCTCCCTCAACTTCTAGCCATAATGAACAAGCTTCAGTCCCCAGGGGCTCCTGTCACCTCCTCCAGGGCGTGGTCCACACCGCCCCCTCTGCCCAGTCTGCCTGCCCTTCCTCGCCTCCCCTGTCCTCGGGACTGAGCTCAGACCTCTAAACCCAAAGACGAGTGACAATAAAGCATACCGCCTCGACCGCAGGGCAGCACCGGGCACAGGAGGCACTAGAAACATGGACACTGCTTTGAACACAGCAATCGGCTCCCTATCCCTGTGTTCTCCCCCTTAACACTGCTGACACTAGGCTCAGATACGTGATTCTTTGCCGTGAGAGCGGTCCTGTGGACTGCACGATGTTGAGTGGCATCTCTAGCCTCTACTCAGCAGGATGCCCCAGGACACCACCCCCCATCCCTCCAAGCTGTGACAATGACAAACATTTTCAGACTTGCCTGATGTCTCCTGGTGGGGGTGGGGGGGCGGGGGGAGCAGCACCGGAACTGGCCTGATTGAGAAACACTGCATGCGCATTGGATGGTTTGTCATCAGATCCCCAGCCCACAGGCAGCATGCCCCTAGAGGCCAGGGTTTACTCTGCATCCTTAATACCCATGCCTGGCACATAATTAGAGATCAATATGCTACTGCTAAGTCTCTTCAGTCATGCCCGTTTCTATGCGATCCTATAGACGGCAGCCCACCAGGCTCCTCTGTCCCTGGGATTCTGCAGGCAAGAATACTGGAGTGGGTTGCCATTTCCTTCTCCAAAATGGGGGCAATAGAATCTAATCACCCATGACAAAACAGCTCACTGACCAACTCTCTGATGCAAGATCAATGCAACTTCAACATTTCATGGAGTTTCATGATGACCAGCTATCCAAACTCTTAGGTTTTAGTAGGATTCAAAATCCTTTTTCTCTTAGCTCTTTTTGCTCATTCTCGTTTGCACACATTTGCCCAACTTTGGTTGGTTGTTGAGGTCCAGTGGAAGAATTCCCATTCTGCCTCGTAGCTTCTCCTTTAGGGACTTGGGAAAGGAAAGTAGTGCAGTTCTTTCTGGCCATCTGCCAGGCGTGGGACCCCAGCCTTCTTGGGGTAAGTTCGACTGGCAATTTTAAAGAACTCTTCCACAGCATCAAGTGCAATGAGATGGTCCATAACAAAGAGATATCTCTCCGAGAGCTCCCAACTGGTTGGGAAAATACTGGTCTCTTCAGCCAGTCTCAGCAGTATTTCCCGAGCTTTCCTTGTGTTTTTAGAATCACTGATGGTGCTCAGTTTTGTCACTGACGGCAAAGAGTCTGCTTCTCTTTGAAAACCTAAATCTTCCAAAATGCGTTTCCATCCACTTCTCACTTCACTTTGAATCTGTCGTGGGGTGCAGATAATATATGTTTGTCTAATAGCCCTAAATGAAAAGNAGATTCTTGAACTACAACCCAAGTCTCAACTGGTCTAAGCATATTCCAGAAACCTGAATTTTAAAAGCCCTCCAAATGATTATGATGTGCTGGCCACTGGACACCAAGGCATAAGATGTCAGCACCATCTGCCACACCTCATACCATGGTGAAGTTCATGGGGTCAGAATGATGAGTAAGTATATGGACTAAGAGAGAAGCAAAAATTTAAAGCAAAATCAGGAACCTAAATGTCCATCAATAGAGGACTGGATAAAGAAGATGTGGTTCATCTATTCAATGGAATATTACTCAGCCATAAAAAGGAACAAAATCGGATCATTTGCAGAGACGTGGATTGACCTAAAGGCCTGTCATTCAGAGGGAAGTAAGTCAGAAAGAGAGAAACAAATATTATATACGAATGCATGTATGTGGCATCTAGAAAAATGGTACAGAAGGTCTTATTTGCAAACAGAAATAGAGACAAAGATACAGAAAACAAATGTATGGACACCAACAAGAGGGAAAGGGGAGTGAGTGGGGTGAACTGGGAGGCTGAGGTTGACGTATATACACTATTGATACTATTCATAAAATAGATTAACTAATAAGGGCCTATGGTATAGCTCAGGAAACTCGACTCAGTGTTCTACCAACACAACATTTTAAAGCGACTATGTGAGATAAGCTGCTTCATTCGTGTCTGACTCTGTGCAACCCTATGGACTATAGCCTGCCAGGCTCCTCTGCCCATGGGATTCTCCAGGTGAGAATACTGAAGTGGGTTGCCATTCCCTTCTCCAGGGGATCTATCCAACCCAAGGATAGAATCTGGTCTCTGAAATCTTCTGGATGGCAGGTGGATTCTTTACCATCTGAGAAAAAAAAGAAAGTTTTGGTCAGGTTTAGTTTTCATAAATTCACTCCATCTCACAGTCTTTAAGTAGAAAAACAGTATCAGAGACACCTTCATGCCCACGAAGCACAAGGCCATTCTCCCGCACACAGGGGCACCTAATGGACCGTCACTGGCTTCAACTGCAAAATTTTCAGCGATTACTCTACCAGTGAAATACTTCCAGGTTTTTTTTTTTTTTATGGAACCAGGAATCACACCTTTATCAAAAGTATTTGGAATCAGAAAATTTTTCAACAGTCTTCTTGTATAGAAAAATGTTGGACTAGAAATCAGAGATCGGGCTTCTGCCCAGCTTTGCCACTAATTATGCGACATGACAGCAGTCCCTGAGCCTACAAAGGCCCGTCTCCTCATCTGTGAAATGGAGGATTAAAGATGTCATTTTTAAAGGTCTTGTTTGTAACTTCCAAGAATCTACAAGTTAACTCGACCAAGAAGATACATGATTTTCTAAGAAGGCAAGTCAAAGCCATGCACATGCACATACGCATGGACAGCGAACAGTACAAGACTAAAAGTCACACAAGGCTGTGATGCAAGCTCTCCCAGTGACAGAACTGCCCAGCCAGATGACACATTCAGAACCATCAACTCCAACGGCTTCCGTTTTCTTCTGCAGACACAAGTACATTTTGGAGATAAAGACTAGGTCTTTAGGTTCTGTATTCCCATGATATGTCCTGCGCCTGTGTCACGGCAAGCATTTATAAACGTCTGCTAAGCCGAAGATGCAACACCTAAGACCACTCTTAGAGCCTCAGATAACCATGGCAGGAGGCCTCTTGATTTCTAGGACAAAAACTTTTTTTAAACAAGTTAAAAGGCAAACGTAATCTAAGGGTGAACAGAAGAAAGACGATATGACAAGATATAAGGTTATTTGTCAAAGGAGTGAACGGTGGAGTTCTGAAGAGCCTGAGAGATCAACATGAGATCAATAAGTAAGATAAATCATCTAGTTGGCGTGGTTTGTAAAACAGTGGAGTGACGAACAAATCCGAAACCCCTAGGATAATGAAAGAGTAGCAAGTAGAAGATTAATGAACGGGAATGGAGAGACTACTGCCAAGACAAGAAGGAACAGGGAAAGAGCCCCCACAGAACAGGGAAAGAGCCCCCACAGAGCGCACAACACACTATGCTTTACGGCTGCCCGAAAATTCCAAAAACAATACACCCTCTTGGAAGGCAAAATGAATTTTGAAAAAGATAAAACCTCAGAGGCAGATTAACTTTACTTTTGAGTAAAACATCACCTCATTTAGGAACACTGCATTCATAAGCTTAAGAGCAGATGGGGTGTTATTAGGTACTTACGGTACTTAACTGGGCCAGTGAGAAGACTTTCTCTATGCTTAAATTTTAAAAGTAGGAAGAGGGAGGAGGAGAGAGATGGGAGGAAGGGGGAAGGGAAATGAAAAGAGGGAAGAAGAGAGGCATTTCTCTGTTGAACATTTCTCAGATGAAAGTGCAAAAGCCATGTCAAAGTATGACAGAAGTTAAGTCTCAAGGTTACAAATGTTTGGTGAAACAAAGGACATTCAATAAAGGGCTGTTACCATTCAATTAAAATAAACAACAGCAGTGTTAAGTACGTCAAAAATGCCTCCATGTAATCCACCATTTCTAGATCGGAAGGACCCGAACTTTCAAATTCAAAGTGAAGAAGCTGGTGAAGGTTCTGTGAGTCTAAAATTATTTTGTAATCGATCCACCACATCTTAATGAAGGTGTTAATAGTTCTGTAAAAGGCCCTTCTCAGAATGGAAATTTTGACGGGAGCCCATTTATAAGCAGGAAAATGATTAAGCGTTACAGTATTCACTTTATTGTTCCCCTCACCGCTGACAAAGTGCCAAAGTGACAAGGCAAGGACGGGGGAAGGGCTTTACGGAGTTCAGGGCCTCGGTCACACGGTTTACCCTGAGAAACTCACGATGGCCTCGTGACCGCTTCCTTCCTTGGCGTGAGTATGTACTAAAGTTTCAAAGTCAGTCATTCTCTGGAAATTTTTCTCAGACGAAACAGGAGCAACAAAGTGTAAACAAGATATAGAAGGTCTTTTTTAAAAAACCTGTAAAAAGCTAAAAGACAAAGAAATGAGCCAAGCCCTCCAGGCCCATCCACATCACCCTGCGCAGCTCAGAACTGGAGAACCCAGAGCCACAGGAGGCCACCTCCGTACAGCCTTGTACATCTGCGCTCCGACGCACACCGGTTCTGTGAGCCGAGGCCTCTGCTGAGCTCCCGCTCACCCGTTTAAGAAACGGCAGCAACGTGGCTCAAGAATCCATCTTCAATGCTAGAGACGTGGCTTTGATCCCTGGGTCTGGGAAGATCCCCTGAAAGAGGAAACAGTAACCCTCTCCAGTATTCTCGCCTGGAGAATCCCATGGACAGAGGAGCCTAGCAGGCTACAGTCCACAGAGTCACAGAGTCCGACATGACTGAGCACATCAGCACAGCAATAGCATCTACTTTACTGGGTTGTTGTGAGGAGTAAATAAAATACTCCATGGGAAGCACTTAGCGTGTCCAGCAAATATAAATGTTCAAAAATGTTTGTGCTGTATTCCCCTTTAAAAGCTAGAACAATTTAGGAGAAAAAAAAAAAAAAAAAGGCTAGAACAACCTATGGGAAATAACTCCCAAAGAGAAATAACCATACATTTCTACTTTCTTTCTACTAGTCTCCCAAACAGTAAACAAGTGTATTTCAAGTTCTCCTCATATAAATAAAATGGCAACAGAAATAACCACCCTGATTACAGTCTCCAGCTTAAAAAGGACTGAAGACAACACAAAGAACAGATACTACTGTCTGAGACTGAGTCAGCCAGAATACTTGAACAGAAAACAAGTAACACTTTTAGGTAATTCAAGGTCTTTCTGAACAATAAAAACAGCTAGACGCCACATAAACTGAAAAGCAACATGGAATCAAATACAGCACTGTGGTCTGTTAATTCTTTTCCAGAGTCTTAAACCAGCTCATTCTCTGCACAGTATATCACCAGCTTAACTCATTTCACAGAAAGCAGGATCCAAGACAGAGAAAAACCAAACTAACCCAGAGATCAGGAAATTCAGACTATTCCTGCTACCAAATTTTCTTAGCTTTTCTCTTAAGCTGACACCTCACCTGACACCCAGTGGCACAGACCTCTATATCAGGAAAGCCTTAAAAATCTAAATATCAAAGCTCAATAACAGGAAAAAAGTTTGGGAGAAGCAATTAAGAAATGCTTTTCACCTATTTCTGACTCTTATTCTAATCCATGCTCTAACTTCATTAATATTCTTTATACTCAAAGTTCAGAAGAAAGTGAAATTCAAACATAATTACTGTTCTTTATAAATCACATCATTTGTAATAGCTTAAGTGACATGATTTTCAAATATTAATTTACAGAACAGTGGTTAATTTTTTAGTTCGAATTCTCAAAATAATCAAAATACAAAACATGAGAAAAGCATAGAACTGAAAGCAACAGTTAAATGTTAAAAAAAAAAAAAAGAATATGCAAATGATTAGTAAGCTATTACCTAAGATGTAAAAATTAATCTTGTTTTGACACTTCCTCAAATCAAATAATTTTAATGTGATTATAAATCAGTTATAAATGCAAACTCTACCCAAAAATAATTTTTTAAAGATCCAAGTTAGAAAATGAGTTACACCAAAGCAGATAAATATTTAAATACATCTTAAATATTGAACTACTATTTTATAAATTCGCTCTCAAAGCAGAAAGATGGGATATGAATAGGAGTAAATGGACTAGCATCAATTTAACTGCTTGTATTTGAAGATCTTTTAAAAATTTTCTGTAATTTAATCTTAATATGGTAATTAAGTATTGGCAAGCATTTTCAAAGCTACTAAGCTAGAGTAAAATAATTAACCCTGGCAGATTTATGAACTCTTTTCTGATACTTCTGGATACTCTAAATATATAGTAAGTTCACAGTTTCCTGGCATATTATGGCTTTTACTTGAATTTGTATTATGTTAACAATTGTAAACCTCTCCAAGACAAAAAGGGGTCAAGAACAGAATCCTGAGAAAAGCACGATCCGAAAGGATATACGCACCCCAGTGTTCACTGCAGCACTGTTTACAACAGCCAGGGCATGGGAGCAATGTAAATGTCCATCGACAGAGGAATGGATAAAGAAGATGTGGTACAGTGGAATATTACTCAGCCATTAAAAAGAATGAAATAATGCCATCTGCAGCAACATGGATGGACCAGAGTGTCATACTGACATTAAGAAATGACTTCATTCACATGCACTGGGGTGCATATATCCTTTGGGATCACATTTATATAAATGAACTTACCTGCCAAACAAAAATCATACTCACGGAACAAGCTTATGGTTGCCAGGGCAAAGGACTGGGGGAAGGGACATTAGGGGGTTTAAGATGGACATGTGTACACTGCTATATTTAAAATGGATAGCCAACAAAGACCTATTGTATAGCTCAAGGAACTCTGCTCAATTTCACATGGCAGCCTGGATAAGGGGGGAATTTGGGGGAGAATGGAAACATGTGTTATCTACAACTGAATCCCTTCACAGTTCACCTGAAACTATCACAACATTGTTTATTAATCAGCTATACTCCAATACAAAATAAAAAGTTTAAAATAAATAAAAATGAATAGACTCCTGATTTTTACTACGGTAACTGCTAAATCATGAAAGTTCACTATTACAGTCAGACACCAAAAAACCACTGCAGAAAACAAACAGTACGTAATAGTAAGATAGCAAAAACTATCTCTAGATAACATTTCTCCAGGCAATAAAAGTCAAAGAAAAAGTCTCTTAGTTGTGTCCGACTGTTTGTGACCCCATAGGCTATACAGTCCATGGAATTCTCTAGGCCAGAATACTGGAATGGGTAGCAGTTCCCTTCTCCAGGGGATCTTCCCGACCCAGGGATCGAAACGAAGCCTCCCACATTGTAGACGGATTCTTTACCAGCCAAGCCACCAGTGAATACTGCCTTCCAAAATACAAATTTGTTCCATATCTAAAATAATTTTTAATTCATAGGTGTGAAC